ACACTCTCCCAAATGCATCATACACATGTGTTTATTTGTATCAAGAAAAAAGGAAAAAATAGTTACTAAACATAATGAGAAAACAAAACCTTATATTTATATGGTATAGGTGTTGTTAGTAGTGTAAAAATAATATTTCTCTAAGGTGAAAAGGCGCAAACTCAAAGATTGAGCGATATGGTAATTTATGTTAGACTTAATATATATTTTAATTTGATATTTTGTTTTAATCTTTTAACTAAAAAATATTATAAATTAGTCTCATAATTTTACTTCTATTATCTTATTTGATCTCTTACGTTAATCTATGATAAAGAAAACATTGAATTTTAATAATGTGATAGGACAACAAAATTATTAATACAAATCTGAATCTAACATATATAATTAAAAACTGATACATAGTGTATCAATTTTTAACTACTCAAATTTGTACCAATCACTTCTTGCCACGTCACCAAAATTTAATAATTTTTTATCATAAACTAGTAAGATACCCGTGCGGCCGCACGGATAAATTTATTTGATATTGTATAAAAAATATTTAAATACATAAAATTTAAATTGAATGATTAAATTATAAATGAATAATAATTATATAAATTTAATTGTATTAAATAATCATATACAAAAGAAAATGAAAAAAATGGTCACTTAAATGCATACAATTGGATAAAAAAAATTAATTCCTCACATTATGAAAAATGGTCACCTACTATATAAAGCTAAAATTAAGTTTATTTTCTTCCGCATAGACCTTTTAAGAAAAATACACTTTTAAAATTGTTAATTACTTATGTATACACGTAATAGTAATGTGTAGTATAACTACTTGTCAATCCCATAACAATTGAACCTACAACAATTAAAGCACAGCCACAACACTAAGGCCAACAATTTTCTATAAAAAACAAATAATAATAAGTAAGTGAATATTAACATTAAATATTTAAATAATTTTATACATCTAAATTAAGATATTACATTTATATTCAGTTGGTGATTCCTGAGGAAGGAAAACACTATTAGAATCTAACTGTGGTGGTCAACCGGACTTGAAACAATCAGATTATTTTCTTTATATTCCAACCTCTAAACCACTTTTAACCATCCACCAGCCGATGAGACCCTGCCCGGCACCAAGACCAAACAAAACAGGGAGTCTAAGTCCTAATCTCACTGTAATATACCCTTTATGAAGAAAATATGAATACGGTAAGGCAAACATTAATCCCAATGCCCTCCCCCACATACGATGTCCATATTCCATCCAATATATGACTTGAATTCTTCAATCTTCATCCCTTTGTTAACACTGCAAGAAGTGTACAACGAAACATTACTATAACATCTGTAAAAACTACAACAATTATTTCCTACTGAGTTTCAATTCTCTTCTAATACATTGATTTTAGTAATAAATGCATAATCATTACTAAAACTGTAACTATCAGAAACAAGTTTTTTCATATGCACAGTTTCAGAAATCCCAAAAAGAAAATGAATTTGGAAAAAAAGTTGATTACAGCATATGCTTAGGAGGTGAAGCAAGTGTTTGCAATTTACCGCTTGTATTCAGGTGACTCCTGATATTTCTCAAACTCTTGCAACCATGCCTCATCTGTCAAAGGAGGGAACTCACACGTAAATTTCCAATCAGTCATTGAAAGACCGGATCTAGTAAGTCTCGTTAAACCACCAAGTATCACCATGCTAAACACCCATGCCGCAGAGCTAAACAGCCATATTCCAATTGCCTTTTGTGCATGAGAACCTCCTGTCACGAGCAGCTTCAACCCCTCCCTATGTCCGGCCGCAGCAGACACCGTCTTAGAAAAGTTCCTCGTGAATGGCACATGATGACCCTAATATCATCATAATTGTTTTCTCAGAACACATGACTAACTATACATACTATATATTCACAGAATGAACATAGTAGCTAATTTCCCATAATGCCATTGACATTTCACAGATAAAAATCAATTCAAATAATCTCAACGAACAACTATAAGTGATTTTGGTTTTAGGAAGCATGTAAGATGAAAAGAAAAGAAAGATAAACATAGAATCACTTTCTCTCCAACCAAAGGATTAAGTATTGGAAGCAGCCCAATCTGCAAATCAGTTCGTAGTAAGTACTTAAAATAAGCCAAATATCTTACAATGTTAGTATTTACATACCTGAGAAAAAATTGAACCAATTCCAACCATCATCAGAAGTTCCGAGAACTGATATTTGTTAAAGCCGAAAACAACTTTTAAATAGTACTGCAGTGGAATTAATTACTTACTGTCAAGTTATGAGTTAATTAAAAGAGATTTTTCGTTTAAGTATAAGCAAAAAGCTGAAAACATACCAGCAAAACTGCTTATGGCAGACATTCCCAACTCATAAAAGAAAGAGACAAGAGCCATGCCTCTTAATGTTGGACTGAAAAAATAATCATACATATAATCAATCACATGCAAGTTTATAAAAGAAATTGTTTCTAAAAATCAGATAAAAAACCTGAAAAATTACTATTTCCGCGACATTTCTCATAGATTTGTATCTTTGGTTAACAACGCTAACGATTTTTTTGCAGAAGCCTAACTCTTGGTTCTTTCTTGGATTCATTTTCACAGTTTCATATAGGAAAATTTGCATGTAAATTGGACAAAAGGTCATAGTACTACTGAAACCTGAAATTCATAAACCATGATTAAGATTCATAATTAAACCTCAAGACAAAACTGAGTGAACAAAGATTGGTACCAAAAAAATGTAGTTTTAAGGAAGAAATCGAGCCAGGACGTTCCCGAGAACATGTGAAGCATAAAATAGACCAGTAATCCAACTAAATATTGCTGCTCTTTTGTTTTCATTAACAACATCTGCCACATACGCGACAGAAATTCAGAAGATAAGTCATTTAATTATGAATAAGAGACTCAAAATGAGAGACTCAAAATGTAAGCAATAAAAGAAGTCATTGTTGTTGTCTAGTGTTTGCACCGATTTCATGTGTTTGATCATAAGTCATTTATTATCTAAGAATATATTTTCCATGCTGCTTCCCAGTTCCCACAGGGACATATCTGCATCGAAGGTGTTTCACCATTTCCAAAATTTCAAGCATTTCAACATACCGCACAAACTTGTGAGCATCATTAACACTAACCAGTCAGAGAGTAAATCAAAAGGCCCACTCGCCGCAGACAAATGAAGCAAATCTAATGAAAACTAATATGGCATTCGCCTCTTAAATGTTCCTTTCATATATCACATCTCAGAATTTCTATGTCTATCAATATTTAGTCTGATTGATTGCACAGAAAGTGCAGCCTGCTCTTCTACAACATTTAAATTGTTTAGGTATGGCTTTACTAATGCAAAATTTGTTCGTAATTACTTCAACCTCGGAGTCCTAATTTAAACAAACCCACACGATTAATTACTGTTAAATACTGATAAATTGAGTAAGCAAGAGAACATGTTAATCATGGCATCTTGTAAGCAAGAGAACATGTTAATCATGGCATCTTGTTAAACATGTTAATCATGGCATCATGTTAATCTAGATATTTATAATTATGCTAGCCATTATTCAGAAAAAGATATTAAATATTTATGTAATTAAATTAACAGTTAAAAGCAAATATTTACCAATTAACTTCATCTCTGACTCTGTTGTCAGATCAGCTACCTCAAAGGAGCTACTGGATACTAGACACAATGCAGATGCCCAAATTGTGATGCCTCCCGCTTCACTTTTTTCAATAATACCTTCTACAATTTCAGGATAACATAAATAGCATGAAGATATAGCAAGCAATAGAGGCTTCCAGAGTGAACTGGGCGTACTTCGAACTTCAACAAAGCGAGAGAAGGCTGCCCGACTAAAAACAATTACCAATGACTGTTTTACACCTTCAATTTCAATTGAGTAGGTCAGACAGTGTAGTAATGCATGGACACAGGAGCAAGCTCTATATGTGGCAGAAGGATATTGCTTAATGGCCTCACTAACAAAAGTGCTAATTCCTTCTACAATTGAACGTTCAGGCACAGGTGGAGCTGGAGGGGGTGGGACCTCTTTTACAAGAAAGTTTTTCAGCCTATATGAACGATCTAAATTCACAATTTCCTTAATCACATCAAAAATCGACAAGTCTTCTGATTCTGCCCATGCGTGCCACTCTACAATCATTTCAGCCCAAACTGACATCAGCTCTGACGCTTTCAGCTCTTGAATCAAGTGGCTTGAATCAATAGAAAGCATGACAGATCATAGAAAAGTTGACAAATCTTCTATGCATGATGAAGTTTGAGAATTCTGGTCTTGTTGATCCTTATAAAATTCAGAAAACACTTCAAATAAATTGACATTGAAAACATTTCATATGAATATAATGTATGATTAAATTAAAGGCACGCAGCTAATATCTGAAAGCAAAAAGACTAATCAGCACAGCCAGTCTGATTGTACATCAAATAGGATCTAAATTAGAAGTGCATGCAGTCGGGACATTTTATTGTCACGGCAGCTGTAAAACAATTGAGGAATTTCAAAAAGAGAATGAATTCCACCTTACAAGTGAAATCATCACAGCTATTGTTTCAAGAAACCCATTCAAACTCTCTAATTAGATTTTCCTCCAGAATAATACTCCTGAGAAAATCAAATTTAGCCAGGCCCTCAAACTAACTTGTGTGGACAAAGGTGTTAGCCAAACCTGCTACAACAGTGCAGCAAAAGCTCTGCCAATTGCCGCCTGATCTACAGCCCATTTTTCTTGCAAATCATTTGATTCAGAATTAGATACTTCAGGCCTAGAGTCTTCCCATGTCTGACCCATAACTTCCAGAGTAGCAATTCCACGCTCAACCACCTATTGCAGATACAAACTCAGATCAAAAGTAGTAATTGTGTTACCACAACATGATGTGCGAGTGGCATATTCAGCCTCTAAAAATAACTAAGAAATATGTAATGCATCACTGGAGACACCAAAAACTATGGCATAACCAATGCCATAAGCAATTGAGAATATACATCAGCACTTATCTCCTGGAATGACACACAAGGTTAGAAACCAAGATTGAATCACCTCAAAATGTTTTCGCAACTATATCACACAAGACACATGAAATATATTGTAACTTCATATGAAACAAAATTTTCTTGAGTTGTGATAGCTAGATTAAGTGACTTACCTCTGGTAAACAGGAGCCTAGTTCTCCAAGTACCCAGTTTGCACTTGCAATGAGGTGTGGTACAGAAACAACTATGGTATACAGTGGCAAAATCCGTGTTCGGATGAGAATTGTCACAAAGCCAGATTCTTGATCTCTCAAAAACTGTAAAAGAAGTGAGGTTTGAAAAATTCCTTTTGAAAATTTAATGACAAAATTCCTTCTGAAAAATTCCAGATTGTTCCACATGAAATCCCTTCAGAAGATATTAGCACGGTATAAGATATTATCATTTATTCTTCAAATTCATATACTTTTGTTCAAAAATAATCTGGAATTAACCATCATCAGGTAGCTTAAGTAAAATTCAATGACAAAACAGTTCAGAATATGGATAGTGTCATAACTGTTTTGAACACCAAAATTCGGAAAATGAACTCTTTTGTAAAGTAGATAGCATGTAAGCTGGAATAAACGCAATATAGTGAGATCGGTATGGACTTCATCATTGCAAGCACTAAAACTCAAATAAAAGCACAATTATGAAATAAAAGTTCATTGCAACCAACCTAGAAATGCGGTATGAAATAGAAGTTCATTAATGAACATGCACAAACATACAGATGATGGCACAAACAGAAATAGAAGTATAAAAATGAATATGAAGAGAGAATGAGACGAAAGATGGTGATTTCGTGCCACTATGAACTTGCGGTGTTCAACATTGAAAAGTGGAAGGAGAAACGAAGACGAGGGTGAGGGGAGGGGCGGCAGCAGCGGTGTAGGGTTTTGAAGAGTTGATAGAGAGATGAGAGAAAATGGGACAGAGAGAGGAAAAAGTGTGGGAGATGGAAGAGGATTTTGAAATTAAAATTGATAAATTGTGATGGAATAGATGAATGACATTTGGCAAGAGAAGAGAGTGTTGGATAAGATTTAATTTGAGCAATGTTTTAGTGTAAATTTAGTGTAAGGAAAGGGCAAATTGGTAAGTTTGGGCAATGTTTTTTTTGAAGTGTTGATAATTGATTAATAGAAAAGTTCAAATAGGCTACTAGAAGTGAAGTTAAAAAATTAATTTATAACGTTTTATAGTTAAAGAGCTAAAGCGAAATATTAAATTAAAAAATTTAATTGATATATATTGATAGTGTAAAGATTTCTTATACTGTCAGTTAATCACAACCGCTGATTTATGTTAAATATTTGACTTTTATTTTAATCACTTGAAATGTAATACCAACGGATAATTGTGATGCATTGACGGTGTAAAAGTTTTTACACTAAAAGTGGATAACAATTGATCACTAAATTAAATTAAGGAATGCGGTAATTAATTATGCCTCTATATTAATATTTGAACTTTATATTATATAACTTTTTTCTATAAATCAATACTTCCAAATTTATAACCAAGTCTCATAATTTTTTATTTATAAATAGGCACTTTAGAAACTTAAATTAGAAATAAATTCATGCTTCAACAAACCGAAATCGCGTCAGATAATTATAAATAATGCTCGGGATTTTTTTTGTTAATAAATTATCATTGATTAATATCTTTGATATAAATGTGTCATGTGAAGGTTTCTAAAATATCTTAAAAAGAGATTAATCAAGTTATTCATTTGTATTTGGTTTTCATGAATTGGTGGAAACAAATCAATTCTAAAGTTTAATGTATTCTTTCAGAACATGATAGTGTTGAAATTGTGGTAAGACAAAACATGAAATTAAATGGTCCCAAAAGCTGCGGGGTCCAACTTGTGATGGATCTTAAAGCTCAAGCATCATTTCTTATATGAAATCTAACCAAAAATTCAGTTGACTCAATGTAAGCCATTGAAAGTGATTAGATTAAAATATATAGCTAAAAGTTAGAAATTCATCACATGCAAACAGGAGTTAGAAAAAGACATAGACTAGATGTGCTATGATAAAATGCCAATGTTTGATAACCATTCTTTTATATATATATATATATATATATATATATATATATATATATATATATATATATATATATATATATATATATATATATATATATATATATATATATATATATATATATATATATATATATATATATATATATATATATATATATATATATAGTCTTCCTAGCTAGCTAGCCCACAAATTCTATTGTTTATTGCGAGGAAAACACTATATAAGAGAAGAAACTTAGGGTTTTAAAAGTTAAAATGTGTTCAAGTTTTGTTAGAATTCTGAAACCATAATATGAATGAGCTTAAAGAAAAGACAACTTGTCGACACTCAATATCAAGTTTACAAAGATGAATTGAGCTACAAGAAACTACTTAGGAGAAACTCTGAGGAAAGCTAACAAAATCAAGGAAAATTTGCAGAGTGAACAAGATAGTGCTGCTAAGTTGGTGGAAGACCTTTCTCAGCATCAAGCCAAGCATGACAAAGCTTTCAGTGAGATCCAGAAACTGCAAGGCCAAGTGCATTAGAACCGAGAGAAAGTCAGTCAACTCAACCTAGAGAGTACTCAGTGGGACCTAATCAGAAAGAAGCATTCCTACATGATCTCCTCCAAGGACCTAATCATTCTTTGTTGTGCAACATCATGAAGGGTGCAAAGTATTGGGGCGAGAGGCACACTCGCTTAGCCAGATTTGCTGAGCATGTGCTCGAAGATCTGCCAGGATTGTTGGAGGATGCGTATGCTGATGTGCTTCTGCACAAGACTCCATGGGTTGTTTTTCATTTCTTATATGTTTGTATGGTGGTTTTTAAAAGGATCAAGGCTAATCTTATTGTAGCCCAAAAGGCAAATCTTTGAGTTGTATTGACTTATACTTTTCCTTTATTGAATGAAATGAGAAGTTTCTTGCCAATATTATCTATGTGCCTTTGCTTGTAAACTTTATGATTATTGTTAACAAAAGATAAAAGCTCGAGAATTCCTGAATATTAAAACTTCAATTTTTGCATTCATTGCATTCACTCATGCACACATATGTACCTCTATCATCCAGAAAATCAAAATGCTTACATTGTCTGTCTCCAACTTTTAGTAAAGATGATGACTCAACATCGTTATTTCACCAGATTAAGCAAGTCAAAGATCATGGTGTCGCAACTGTGAAAAACAATCGTTTGAAAAAATAGAGTCGCCACCAAACTTTATTTAACCCGACGGGGGAAAGGAAACGATCGAAGAAAACCTAGAAAAGGAGAAGACATGGTCTTGTAACCAAATCCTGGTTTCAAGAATCGATTACACGAGAGGAAGGTGTTAGCACCCCTCGCGTCCGTTGTACTCAATAAAATCCGCAATTGTTGTCCTAATCAAAGAGTGTGTTTATCTAAAGCCTATTTGCTAACAGAAACGGGAAGGGAAAAAACAAAAAGGAGACTCAATAGAACTTCTCCGTTCTACGTCTACGTATTCCCTTATGCAATAGAAAAGTCAGAGTCAACGTAGTTCGGAGGACTATGGGTGAAAGGGAAGGGTGCTCGCCAAGACCTCACCGTTTTGTGCCTACGTATCCTTATTTGAACGAGAATGAGGAAATTAGAGCATTTGTAGTTTAGTATACGAATTGTTAAGTGTTTTGTATGAGCATTGCTAAGTTTGCGTTCCAGCAGTTAGGGTCGATGCCTGTTTGCGGTAGAACGGAAATAAGATACTCTTTTTAAAAAAAGTTTGGCAAACAACCCCAAAGGATAAAATGATTTGCAATTTGTTTGAGAGTTTTAACATAAGTGAATTGAACTTGTTTGAGACTCATATTGCACTAAATTCTATGACATATGAGCGAATGCTTTGCAAGATCGCCCCCAAATGGGACATATGCTAAACACTCTATAAGAAGTAAGGGGAGACTTCTCACTCATTATTTCCCATATACTTAAGGCTCGTGATGCACAATACTCATCGTATTTATTACGTGTTTTTATTTTTGTTTTCAGAAAGAGAAGAGAAGACTCAAAGAGAAAAGAGAAAATCTAAGGGAAACTCACTTAGATGTTGTCATGCAATATGGATCTATAGTTGAGGATGAGAGAAGGGAAGTCTACCTAGTGTTATCATACAAAATGTAGACCTAAGGTTGAGGTTAAAAGGGATTTAACCTAATGTTCTCATGCAAAGGATTGAGAGCCTAATGTCTATCCTACTCCAAACATAATCAAAAATTAAGTTGGACTAGGAGCCCTAAGGGAACATGTGATCAAACACAAGTAAACATTAAAACAAGTCAATCTCAAATAACAAAAGTAAACCAAAACTCAAAGGAGAAGAAAGACAAGTTAAGAGGAGAAGGATGTCAGAGCAACACAATGTAAGAAAAATAGACATCAATGCTTAAGCGCCAACCTTAACGCTAAAGTCAAGGTATGCTTATCATATGAATCAAGAACATCAAGATGGATAAGGCAAACAATTAACATATACATTCTCAATCATCAGAAAGCATGCTCAAAGTGATCACGCATTCAAGTTCAAATAGAAAATCAAAGGCAATCAAAGAAGTGCACAAGCAAACATGCCTTAAAATCATAATCAAGCACCATTGATCAACATACAAAGACAACATCAATCAAACAAGATAAAAATCAAGAAAGGTTAGAACTCACATCACATCATGATCAGATCATTTCAAAGACAAAACGAGAAGCACAACATCATCCAACGTGAACCACAATAAAGACTAAGCATTTATAAATCATTATCTCATGAAAAAAAAGTCACAAATGATTCAACCAATAAGGTTAGGGCATGGAATCAAGATGGGGCAGTAGCATGAACATGAATATCAATTCAAACATCAACTCAAAGAGGAAAAGAAGGATCATAAATTATCAATTTCAAAACATGCACCAAAACTAGGCAAGCCTCCACCATAATCATCTTCAAAAGAAGGCAAGTACTCAAGCAAGGCGTAAAGACCAAAGGATCAAGTAATGAAGATCAAAACATAAAGGTCATAAGCATATTCGAATATTTCAATTCAAAAACAACTTTAAGATATCAAGCAAGTTCAAGAAGAATCATATTCAAATTATGAACAAAAACTAAACAATCATCAACTCAAGTCATCCATAAAAAAAATTATCATGTGAGACAAGCAAGGTAAAAGGATCATAAAATGGACATCCAAGCATTAAGTTCAGAACATTAAATACCCAATCAAGGCATACAAGAGTTATTGATATCAGAGGATTACCCGAGAACATTTCTAAGAAACTAGGTCAAGAATATCCAACGATCATGA